TGTCTTGGATTGGCATCCCTAAACTACGCACTTCGTTTCTCTTCACTGCCTTCTTCCCTGGTTTTGGGGGGTTTTTTGGTTGTTTTGAGTTTTGGTGGGGTTTTTTTGGATTTTCTTTGTTTGTTTGTTTTGGTTTTTTGGGGTTTTTTTTTTTTTTGGTACTTCATCCAAAGGCGATCTTTTGCCTTCCGGTTGTAGGTAAAAATCCCCTAGGTCTAACATGACATTTTTAAGTGACTGCTCTTCAAGCATGAAGATATTATGTCCGTGCTGTCTAGAGTACATAAAGGCAATACGGTGATTATTTTCACTGATTGCTAGGTGAGATTATTTTCACTGATTGCTAGGTGAAATCAGCGGAAACCCCTGCACAGCAGGGTTTTACCTAGGAGTGAGCGTCTTGCTTTCAGGAATACTCCGGCAACTGCCTCATCCTTTCTATTCACAGGCACTCCTGTGCCTGTGGTCAAATTCACAGGCACCCCGTGGTCAAATTCCATGTCGTTCCCTCCTGTTCCCAGTTTTCTAAAGTACATCAGCGAGAACAGAATCGTCTGGTTAGTCATCGTGCCCTCCTTGGGGATCTCCGCAGAGTCCTGGGATATCCTGAGTTGGAAAGGATCCACAAGAATCATTGAGTCCAGCTCTTAAATGGATGGGCCGATTGAGCAGGCAACTTCGGCATTATTAGCACCATGCTCTAACCAACCGAGCCAATGCTTCCAGCCATCCCCAGCTTCCACACATCTTCCAGAGCAGCAGCTCCCTCCTCAAAGCCAGCTGCAAAGACCCTGGGGGGGAAAAATTTTAAACAGCAACCATTGCTCACCACATGGGCTCAATTTTTTCAGGTTGGCAGTGAGACTCACAGGTTTCATAATAGTATATTAAGCACAGTATAACCTTATTAGATAGAAGAATATGAAAAAGGGGGGTTTGCCTGTAAGCACTAAAGTCATGCTTTAAACAGAAAATCTAGACAATCAGACCTTAAAGGGAAATTGATTTTAAAATTCCCTAGAGAAGACAGAAAATGCACATCAAAGAAGAATTACTAATGCACAGCCTCATTTGGCAAGGACAGCTATTTCATGTAAAGGTAGTCTCATGCACTTTATTTGAGAGCACAATGGCCACAGCATACTGCACCATTCCATGCCATGCCATGCCATGCCACACCACACCATATATTTTGCATTCATGCCATTAAGAGAAAAACTGCTTGAATGACAGTAAAAGCTCTAATAAGGTTGACCACAGTTTCCATTTTACAGCTCTTTAGCCTTCTATCAGTTTCTGAAGCTTTCATACATTGCTATTGAACCTCATGTCTCTCAATAATCAATTCCTTTCAACCAATCCAGATTTTAGAATATATGATGTATAGAAAGATGTTTCAATTGCAGCAAGATTATAGATATGATTTTTTAAGGATTCAAAAATTGTTCAGAATTGATAATGAAATACCTTGCAGTGGAAAATGCAGCTCCTAACTAGGTAATGAATTCTGATAGAATTCTGTGTTTTAGCTGTCCTTATCCTAACTCAGGATATTTGCTATTCCACTTTTTTTTTTTTGCACAGTAATAATCTGAGGACACATGCAATTAGGCCAGCTGTTTCTGAGAAAAAAATAACTGAGGTTCACACTAATCATCCCAGTGTAACATAATACCTGAGTCAGCTGCTTGGTTGATTGAGGCATCATGGACACTTCTGTAGGTTAGAGGTCTTTGGGAGAAACACACCCAACTGAACATCAGAGGAAATTCTCAAGGGTAGCATGTGGCAAGATGTTTCTAGAAGGACAGAGAACGTCCTACAGATGGAAATGCTTTACCCAAATAATTTGATTTGTCCATTAGAGTAAATTCTTACATGACTAGCTGTTAAGATTTCGCCAACCAGACAAATCAAATCTTAAGTTACTGAAGAAGTAACTTAAAATAAAGTAGCATTGTTAGTGTTGAAGGTATATACATTCATAGTATAGTTTCTGTTCTGCATGAAGATCCATGTACACCCAGTTTTACATATCCAACTTCTATTATTTATTTTGTACTGTTATGGAACAAAATGTAAGTGTCTTTCTTTATTGTTTTTGTTTTGCTATTTTGTTTATATTTTGATGTGTTTTATGGGTTTGTTTGTTTGTCTTTGGTTGGGATTTTTGTTTGTGATTTGAGTTTTTGTTGTTTTATTTTGGTTTTGTTCTTGGTTTTGGGTTTGTTCTTTTTAATTTTTTTTTTTTTTTTAACAAAGTTGCAGAATTCATATGGGTTAACTTGAAGAAAAAAGACATAATCTCCCTGGTTGCATTTCCCATTCCGGTTCATAGCAGGACTACACAGTTTTATACCAGTACAGCTGAGCTACAGAACCCTTGTGGATTGGAAAACATAGGAAGAGACTAGGAATGCCTCAGCTGGCAACATAGGGTTGTTGGTTTTCTTTTTTTTTTTTCTGTTTGTAGTTTGCCTGTCACCTTAAACATGGAGGAGTAGGGATTTAAATAGAAAAATTATGGAGTGCAGACCTGACATATGAGAACACCAACCCTATCTCTAAGTGCCCGTCTTTTGTTTCATTTGCTCTGTATAGATCAGAAAATCCCAGGTCATGATCTCCTAGACGATCTTCACAACTCCACAGGTGACTTTCTCCAAGCCCACAAATACACTTTCCATCATGGAAAGGTCCTCATAATGCACTGAGTAATTCTGCAGAGGCACCTGACAGTTGTGCTTTGTGCTGACTCCTCTAACCCTCCTCACATTTTTGCATCTGCCCAATGTGATGTGCCACTCAGGGCTGCAAAATATGCATTCACCTGCGTGTGAAGTAGGTTACTCCCCTTTGTGAGAGCCATGTTGTGGATGCACATGCAGAGCACTGGTGCTCACAGATAGTGAGGAGTAGCTGAGAATGGTACAAACTTGGACTATTTTGTCTAGACTTCAATGTGATTAACCGGATCATGCATAACCAAATCAAAGTTAATCTCCTATCAGATAGCTTAAAAAAGACTTGAGCTGGCAGATTTTTACTTCTTCCTCTATTCTGAACACTGACATAAGTTAAGGATAATCAAATACCCTGGACTGTTCCAGGAAAGCTTGGAGTATGATTACAGGCAAAAGAGGGGAAAAGACAGTCTTAGAGCATATGCAGTGCTAATGCTGGTGCAAAACGTGAAACCGATATAAGACCACAAGCAAAGGAATTGAGATTAATTATTTGAGTAATGAGTGAAGCTAGATTTCAAACGTTTATGTTTATTAAATAAGTGGAATTCTGACTAAATTGGACTGTAGTTTTGGGAGTTTCTGTAAGTTGAAACGGATGCAAATGTTTGTTATGGTAACTAGTATCCTGCCTGTGCTTATAGCACTGCTAAAAAGAAAACCTGAAAAGGAACGCTAACATGAATCTTGGTAAACTAAATGTGCTAGTAGGTAAGTTACTGTAACTTAATCATTAAACTGCCTTGTTTTTTCCCATTTTGGTAACAGATATAAAACCTTACAATATGCAGTACAAGTAATTAATATTTTCATCCTTGTGAGCCCAAAATGTCATCTTCCTGTGTTAAACAGTCTGTTTGTGAGGAAATGGTAGCATATCTCTGAAGCTAGATGCTTGGCTGTTTAAAACATTGGTTGAAGAAATGTATTTCTATTTGCAAATTCCAGTTCTAAGAAACCCTGCAATCTTCTACAATTCAGTTCAAAGTCCTGATAATGAACAAAAAAGTGTTGTGCCAGGCACTTGATTTCTTTATTTCCTGCCACTGAATGATCTCGGCAACAATCATTGTAGACGGGCTAACATGGGTCACTAAAAGCACATGCACTACCCCTGGAGTGGCTCTTGTAGTGCTAGTGGAATTGAACAGACTTCCCCTGTCTCCAGAGTACCTGGAAGCCTGTACCATGCATTCACTGTGGCTGGTGTAACGTCTCTTAAATTGGTAGACATGTTTCCAATTAAATGAACTTGCATGTAAGTTTATACCATAAATAAAAAAGTCTCTCAGATGGAAAAGAAATTAAGTAACTGAAGTTTTTCTTCCTTCCTGAGAATAGTACACTCCAGAGACAGTTCATTCAGTGGCAAGATGAGAGGAAGATTCAGCCAAAACTTAGTCTTCCCCAAAGACATGTTCCTAACAGTGTGAGACAGGTAGTGAAGATTTTTCCCACGAGAGTTAATGGAACTGAGTCAGAGAAAGCGTGTAAACACATACATTGCACCCTACTCAAAGGACAGGGCCAAAGGCACCTGCAAGTGTGCTGGGACTATCCCACGGAGGACACGCATGCTGGCGTTTTCAGAGCCGATTGCAAGCCTGAAAGAGCATCCCACTGTCGCCAGGACACTCAGGGTCCCGCTGACAGCGCTCCCTAGGACCTCGCTCGCCACCTCCTGCCGCATGGCTGCATTTCCTCCTGCCCTTCGGTGGCTGCAGCCGGGTCGGCCCGGCTGGGGCTGGCAGGGAGGCGCAGCCGGCGGAGGAGACACCGGCAGAGCGCGCCGGGCGCAGGGACGCGGGGACAGCCGCGGAGGCGGCACTGCAGCGCGGCACGGCGGCGCCGCGCACGCCAAAAGGCCCACGGACAAAATACCAACGCTAAAGGAGCAGTTCCTGAAAAAGAAGGGCGCTCTATGTTCTCCTGCGAGTAGCTGCGGGGTCAGGAGCTAGCTCCGGGTGAATGCCGTACCATCGGAGGGAATGGCATTTGGGAGAGCACAGGCGTGTCCTTCTCCCTGCTCCAAGGACCTGCAGTGTAGAGAGCAGAGCACAGGACTTCTTTACAGCTGCCAGCAGTATGTATGTATTATCACTATCACTTGAGATGTTAGGTCTCCTCCGGAGAACTCTGGTTTCCAGTACTGGATCTTCTTTCCCTCCCATCCCATGTTCAGTCTTTGGTTATTATCCTGGTGCATGCCAGCACTTCTCCTATCCTTCAGCTGCCTGATCGGAGCAGACTGACGGTAACCTGGGGTCAGCAGTCCAGCAATCAGAGACTGAGTGGTAACCAACTCAAGACATCACAATGGGGTAGCAAGCAGACACTGCCTAGTGGAGCCTGAAGCTTCTGGACACAGCCCCTGGGGCCGCTGGCACTGGGTGGTAATTAGGGCACAGAGATCTCATGGAGCCTCAGGCTGAGCACAGCCAGTAAGCACAGTCCAGTGGGCAGGCTGGACTGGGAGTGGTCACATTATAGCCTACTGGAGCTGCCCTCTGGCTAGAGCCAACCTCTGCTGTGCCCAGCATGGCATAAGCCACATCCTCCCTTCCTCCTTCAGCACCCCCAGCCCCTTCTGGCTGGTGAGAAAGGAACCGATCTTACTGTTTTTCAAGATTCCAGAGACTGAAGGGCAGAGGTAAATTAGTTTTATAACAGAATTCAACTGCCTAACCTCATGAATATCTGCAAGTATATGAAGGGAGGGTGCCAAGAGCATGGATTCAGGCTCTTCTCTATGACACCGAAGAATAGATCTAGAGACAATGGGAAAAACTGACGAAGAGGAATTTCCACATAAATATGAGGAAGAACTTTTTTACTGTGAGATTGACTGTACACTGGAACAGGCGGTCCAAAAAGTTTGTGAAGGCTCCCTCATGGGAGGTATTCAAGAACCATCTGGACTCAATTGTGTGCAATGTACTTTAGGACAATGCTGCTTGAGCAGGGAGGTTGGACCTGATGACCCAATGTGGTCCCTTCCAAACTGACCCATTCCATGATTCTGTGAACTGTGATGAAAGCAATACAGATGTGACCTTCTCAATGCAGGTCAAGCAATTTTAAACAAGCACAGACTCTAAAAAGATGTAAACTTTTTGGTTTCTAAGTTAATTAAGAAATAAATCCCAAGTCTTGCAACCTTCTCAGCTTGCTCAGAAGAGTGAATGATCCAGATTCTGGGCAGTTTTTTGTCTGCCATGAATAAACATTTTAAAAGGTTGGTCCATCTGGCTTTGCAGATGCTGTCTCATGAAGCAGCAGCCCATGACTGCACTTGGGCACTTACCAAGTGGAGGCATGCATCATTTTACCAGTGAGCTTAAGTCTTTACCAGCCAAATGGAAGGAAGGGGAAATGACTGGCTGCAGGGATGTAGGGGGGTAGGGGAAGAGAGAGAGCACATGAGCATGCACGCGTGTGAGTGTACCTTTGCATAAGAAGAAAACCTGCTTATCACTCGGTATGGCTGTGCAGCCTCAGTGCAATACAGAGGTATGAAAATATGTGTAGGTAATAAACTCAAGAAAGAAAAATTTGATATAATAATTTACCAGGTGTAATTAAAGCTCTGTTAAACTGACTACATTACTTCTACTTCTAAGCCACCTTAGTATATTTGACATAGTACTTCTAGCAATCATCTCCAGGGTGACATTTACTCTACCCACCTTTTCCATGGGATATGTGCATAATCAACTACATAGGAAAAAATTCACTTCAGATGTCCTATATTGATCCAGAGGAGCAGAAATAAAGAAAACACCTGGAACCTAAGTTCTTAAGGCATTCTTGAGAAGGAACGAATTTAATGATGGATACCTTCTTAATGATATTGAGTTATTTCTTCTATAAAAATCTCACATTTTATCAATATTATAATTTTATCATTTTATCAATATTTCTAATACTGCATCAGAAAAACAAGGACTAAAAATTTAAAACAGCATTGCAATTATATATGAAAGGCCTCTTTTGTGCTAGTATGGGTTTCCCCTCACAGTTTAGAATTAAGCTGTGAAAGCATCTTCTCAAGCTTTATTGCTAAAGCCATATTTCCTTCAATCTTCAATCTTCCAGTCATGAAGGCCAGAGTTGGCTTTAATTTACCTAAAAAGAAGAAATAGAACCATCAGAATATCAAAGGAAATGGAAAAAGCCTTTGCACAAGAAAACATAATGCTACCACAGTGAAACCTTAGCATCTATACTGCTACCAAGTCCTCCTGGTACAAGCAGTGCACATTTAGGAAATGATGCTCAGATATACACAAAGCACAAATCCAACACACTGACTGGATTATTTCTGAAGATACACTGGCTGCTAAAATGTCAGTACCTGGTTAATAAAAGCAGTGTAACCTTTTGCACTCTTCCTGTTCACAGGATGCAGAAGTGCAGAAAAATCCAAGCAGTTCTTGCCTGCACTCTCCCTTGAGCCAAAAAAGCTGAAAGCTCCTCCAATCCCAGATCACAAAGTGAGAAGCTGCTCTACTCCCCTGTCAGCAGAGGCTTTTCTGGGCCCCACTGCCTGTGTCCCTTGACAAAGGCCTTTGTCCCTCACCTGTGAACATCTTTACAAAGTCGGCACTCGACATGCTCATAACCACATCGGCCGTCACAGGAGGCTTTCCGAAGCCAGCACTCCCACCCTTGGTCTTCAGGTCAATGTACCAAGTCCCTCCACCATCACCTGGACAGAGAGTGAAGTAAGGTGCGAAGGCAGCAAGGATGCTGTGCCCTCCCTCTCCATTGTCCCCACCAGACGGCCGCGTCCGCGTGTGTTAGCAGGTTCCGTGGCAGCCGCACGCTGACGGGCGCTCTGCAAGGAGTCACCTCTTGTCCCCCTGACGCCCCAAGCACCACGGGCTGGGGCCGCGGGCAGGAGAGCCCAGAAGCTGCGCTTTGCTCACAGAGCTGGTGGCAGCCCACGCTCCTGCTGTGGCCCCGAGAACGCCCTGTCCCTCGTGCCACACCAGCCCCGTGAGGACAGAGGGACGGCAGCTCCAGGGGCCTGCTCAAGCGGCCTGCAGCAGGAGCCTCACACAGAACTGAAGAGCAGCTGGTCTGCTTCGGGACAGCTTCCAAAGTGTTTCTGTCTGAAAGCACCCAGTGCCTTTTTCTAGGCAAGGCTGCACAAGCGATGGGCTTACCAGATAGCTCAAACTGAAAGATGCCCTGAGTCCTTCTCATGTACTCTTCAGTCACTGCCTCTTGAATAACTCGGAACGTCTCTGCAACAGGCCCCGCTGGCATGGCTACAGCAGATTCTGTCTTAACCTTGGCTGCATCTGCTCCTTCCTGCTGGGATCTGCTTACTTTCTTCTCCTCTTGGGCAGCACCTATGAGAAAGATTACTTTTCTCTTTCAAATACAAACCACTTTAAAAATTAATATAGAACCATGAGCAGAGAACTCCATTTGAAAAGACTTAAACTTCAAAGTAGGGAAAACAATTATTTTACCATTTTAGTATCAACACTGATAAAGGATGCTTTTTCCACCCAGGAATCTGAATAGATGTACATCGCTAAACGTAATTCTGCAATAAATTTTGATTCCTGGTAGATCAAAAGAAAAGATAAAATAAAACCACAGCAAAGTTCTCATTCTGACTGTTTACAGTTCATTACAGATGCTCGCACAAGAGTTTTCTACTGTAATCCATACACTACTCCTGACAGCATATAAAAGAAAAAATCAGTGTCTTTAATAGCCATTGCTTTAATCTCAAAATACCTCTGTCTCATCTATCTTGTAAAGAACATACATATTTTCATAAATTCTTTTGCAATGGCTTCTAAGCTGAAAATCAATTTACTACTTTGATTGGTGTTTTACTTCACCACAATGAACATGCACATTTACCACTTAAGCAAAGTTTTCGCAATTTACAAAGCAAATCAAGTTGATCAGCCCCTTAAAATCTGCTGTTGAAAGTCTCTTAGGTGTCTTCAGTATCAAAAAATACTTAGTTTCTGTTCTGTGGGTCCCTACAGAATAACCCGCACTGGGAGCCCAAGGAACTAACACCATCTGTCCCTGGCAGAACGGTCCCAGTGTGACTGGTCAAGGAGTAATTCCACCAGAAAGGAACACTCCAAGTTTGCCTCTTCTGCCCTGGCCTTATCCCTGTTTTGACACTCCTATAAAAACAGTTCAGCATTCTTAGTTGCCCTTCAACTGGACATAAAACAATTCTGGAAAAGCAAAAGCAACACTTTTCTAAAAAGAATTTCTACATTTCATCAAAGAGTTACTTGAAATATGCAAACTGTGCAAATTTCATATAAAAAACCATGGAGGCTTTGTGATATTCTTTTGTATAAATGAGCAAAGCAAAGGAGATATTCCTGCAAATTACACTGTTTGCATTTTAATTTCTTTTTCCAGCAATACTTACTTGTGACCTCCTTACTACCACAATTCAGATTATTAAAAAATAATTCTTCAAAATAATGCACTGACTTTACACCATGAAAGTCCTGCAAGAGGTATGATTTTTTCCCCCAATTTTAACTACATAGTCACTTCCGTAGAGCTGACTCTTTAAATGAGAAAAGGATTTTTGCTAAATAAGATTGAATGGAATTCAAATTCATAGGGGAAAAAAGAAAAGTAGAGAGCATTATTGTGAAATGAAATTAATTATGGAAATTATGGACTTGTACACACAGTGCTTTCCCTACCATATCCTTCTTGCTTCACAGCTGTAGTGCCAATTTCAACATCTAAGAAGAAATCAGGCATCAGAGGGTGACCTAAGAGGGAGGAAAAATGTAATAATAAATCCAAGTAAATCGGATTTGCACAGTAGGAATCCATTTAATCTGAAACTATAGTCAAGTAATACTGTATCTCAGTTTAAATCTGAAGAAAAAATGTATAATGAAATAACATGCTTAAAATTTTGTTCATTTAAAATCTGACATAGAAGGCTTCTAAGATTGCAATGAAGAACATCAGAAAAGAAAAACATAAAAATCTATCTCATGAGCTGTTAAGTAGTAATATATATATCTACACTGCAAGTAGGTTTTCTTTTCATTAAAAATTTCTTTATTTAATTTAATAGACATTTAATTATTAAACTCTTGGTGGATCCATATGGCCTTTTCACTAAGGCACATTCTCAAAGCTAAGGCAAAGCAACTTTTTAATATATTAATTTAAGAATCCTGGGAAACAAAACTGTATTAATATTCTCTATATATTCTTCCTTCCTTCTTGAACTTACTTCTCACCTTTAAAGATCCTTTTTACCTGGTGCAATTGCATAAACATCAAAATCCTTAACTCCTTCTTCTCTCAGCAGAACTTCATCAATAATGAAGTTCCCAGTGTAAGTTTTTGGTTTTGTCAAAATGCAGTATGCAGCATCTGCCAGGATGTCTGTTTTCCTGCACTGTTTTTCTATTCCAGCTCCTCCCAGCATATCCATAGCAGCTGTATGTATGGCTAGAAAAGTTTGGAGGGTAAGAAAAAAAAAAGCTTTAACACTGGTGACATGGAATTCTCATTTCTTTCACAGGTAAACGAACTTTATTTTACTTTCAGGCAAAAGAAAACTCTAGGATGACAGAAGCTGTGAAATACTACTAACCAACAAATAATTCTTTACAACCAACAGTAAAAAGCCATGAAACTATCACAGGAATCAAAAATGCCAAACATGTTCTGACATTCACATCTCTATATGTATTTATCAGCCCACCAGTTTTCCACCAGTTGTTCAGGACATGAAAAACTAACAGGACAACAGTTTTCCTCAAAATTAATGTATGACACATCAGTTATAAAGAGGAATTAGCTTTGGTGATTATCCCACTGAAAGTCTTGATGCTTAATTTTAGTCTTCTGATAACTCCCATGAGCTATTAAAGTGTTTCTCCTAAGTTAATGAGAAACCAAATAACAAAACCTCATGTTACTTTTTCAATATTTCACAGAAAGGCTGTGTTAGACCAAAGAATAAATCCACATCTCCTCCTTCTGATTCTTTTATTAAGCAGTTGCATTACTTCCGTGCCATTCTACTAGTTCTTCTTTATATTTCTCTCATGGGAGCTACTAACACTGTGGCATATTGATGTCTAATTCTGTTATTTGCTCTTCCAGGCTGAGGTATCCATTCCATTTTTTTTTTCATCCTATTCCATGGAAAGTCTAGTTGCAACTTTTGACATTTGCCATCTTACTGTTTTCCCCTCATATGTTCTGCTTCATTAGTTTTTCCCATCTGCTGTTTAAAACTCAACACTCTGCCCCCAAGTTTTGAGGCAGATTCATAAATCCTTTCCTACGTATCGGGCCAGAACATCAAGAAAGCAGAAGGATAAACCTTGAAGGATAAATTTTTATCTTCCTTTCAGTGCTTCCATTACACACAAAGTAACAGCAATTTTGGTACAGAAATGATCCCAACATTCCTTAAATAGCAAAAAACATAGGTACTGTGCAGGACACATGTTAGCTGGATCATTCCTTCACCTTTCAAAGTACATACTGGGAAAAACGACCGCAGTCTTCAGCACTGGCCTGAGAGCTCCTGTCCAAGTGCTTCCTAGGAGAGTCTAGAAGTGTGTAGATGTCCCTATTGACTTCATTACATTAATCTTCTGTGATAAGAATTAGCTTCTAGGTTTCATTTACTGTTAAGCAACCTCAGTTTTTTTGGGTTTTTTTCAAATTAATTGAACTACAAACACATGCCTAAATAAAAAGTGACAAACAGATATACTGTACACACATGTAGGTCTGTTCTAGGTCTTCTTCTCATGTTTAAGGAAGTTAATACATTTGCCTTTTTTTGGTCTTCTGAAGTGGTATCTGTCCAGCAAGATTTATTTTTTTTAATAGCTACCAACAGTGCAGGGAATATTTTTGTCAAGTACTATGATGAAATTTATCAAGTTCTGTTGATTTAAATATATTTATTCTGAGTATTCATTAAGCTGCTCATTTTCCCTGGCCCACAGGTCTGTCACTTCTCTGTTACTGTTAACTATTATTCTTCTGAGTACAGTCACCCTACCTACATAGATTGAAGCAAAAAGGTTTGAAACAGTCCTGCCTCGTAGTCTGGCTGCACATTAATTACATTCATTTCATATAGAGGGATGAAGGTTTGCCTCTAATGTACATCAATAGACTTCCAGTTCTGTCTCAGGACACCTGTATTATTCCTCTGGTCTCTTTGTGATGGGATTGCCCCTTGCCTTTTTGACAGATGTCCTCTTTCACTTTTAGATAAATGGAGAACTCTGGCATCTTAGTACCAACATACTAACCAACATGTGTTTAAAGAATCAGATTAATGAACTGATCCTGGCATCCATACAAACACTGAGGGTAAACACATTTGTAAGAGATTATAGTGGGCTTTTAAATTAGAAACTTTGCAACTGTCATTCAGAAACCCTGGAAGTCTGTAACACTACCTCTCTGGATGATCACAATAAAGAAGTTAACTTTCTAACTTTTGGAAGATAAACCTTTCAAAAGCACATTTTTTTGTACTGGAGAATTCACACATTATGATCTTTTATACTTGATGTCACATCAGTTTTCATGGAAGCATCACTGAATGAGCAGGCATGATTTCTGCAAATAAAAAGCTCTGCTTATATACCTTTCATTTTATAAAAAGCTTAAATACTTTTTAAAATTTCTTTGCAGCATCTCACACAGATAAATCTTTATTTTACAAAGCATTTATTAGGATATATACTGTTTTCATCCGTAAATTGAATCTTCCTACACTTCCAAGCCTCATGTTCTGCAGGATCCTGTGGGGAACAAGTAACTCTGTAACCAGTAGCATCTGCTAGAGTGTTCTCCTGTTACTTTAGCAAGTATAGGTATATTACCAAGGACACAGTGTAAATGTAATGCTCAAGAGAAAGATACAACTGTATTTGGTTTGGGTTTCCCCCTTCCCCACATTAAGAATGTCAGATTTTATAGAAGTTTTATTAATAGCATCATAAACATTCTTTAATACCAGACCACATCTGAGAGACAGGTACTACTACTGATTCTTGGAGTGTTGCAGCATAAGCCAAAACTATAAAGAAATAATGTATTCAATTATGTGACATAAGACATAATGTAACTTCTGCTTATAAAGTTAGCTGCTCCTCTGAAAAAAAATCCATTGTGGAAAGGATGGAGAAGTTCTCACAGGTTCATTTTTCCCTTATCACGAAAAAAAAAAAAAAAAAAAAAAAAAAGAGGTCAAATTATTCAGATAGGCAGGAGAAACAGCCACATTGCAAAATAAATACCTAGTATAACCAGCTGGTCTCTGCAGAAAAAAATTATTTTGCTTTTAACAGGACCCATAAAGCCACTGACTCATTTCCACAATAGTAGTGGATGTTTTTTCCAGCACATACAGAATAAGAAAGCTGTGGAGGATCCACATAATGTGTCTATACAGCATATGAATATGTGCACTTACAAGACACAGGTAATCTTGTAAACATCCTTTTCATGAAAAAATAAGTTAAATTGATTGTCTGCAGTTTCATACCATTCCTCTCTATCTGAATGAGATATTCTGAATTAATTCCTTTACAATTCCAAACTCTCAGACAATATACATTGT